GAGAGCAAAGTTTGGTGAGACAGGCAAATCGAGGTCAACGTCATAACACTTAACTACACTTGGTGCTGATGTAACCATCAACTGTGTTGGATCTAAAGAGAAGGGGGATGTTCTCTGTACTCAACCAATGGTGTTATCTCTAAAATGTCTATATAAGATAAGTTGCTTGATTTATTCGACCAACAGTCCAAAACTTTAAAACATACTACATCTAGCCCAGATATGATGAAATAGAAGCAAATCATCCCACAAATGTTTGCCTTAAAATTAGAAAAACAAAAGCAGTTTATGAAAAATAATATAATATACAGTGGGGCAACAAATTATTTAGTCAGCCACCAATTGTGCAAGTTCTCCCACTTAAAAAGATGAGGCCTGTAATTTTCATCCTAGGTATACCTCAACTATGAGAGACAAAATGATTTTTAAAGAATGTATTTGGAAATTATGGTGGAAAATAAGTATTTGGTCAATAACAAAAGTTCATCTCAATACTTTGTTATATACCCTTTGTTGGCAATGACAGAGGTCAAACGTTTTCTGTAAGTCTTCATAAGGTTTTCACACACTGTTGCTGGTATTTTTGGCCCATTCCTCCATGCAGATCTCCTCTAGAGCAGTGATGTTTTGGGGCTGTCGCTGGGCAACACAGACTTTCAACTCCCTCCAAAGATTTTCTATGGGGTTGAGATCTGGAGACTGGCTAGGCCACTCCAGGACCTTGAAATGCTTCTTACGAAGCCAGTCCTTCGTTGCCCGGGCGGTGTGTTTGGGATCATTGTCATGCTGAAAGACCCAGCCACGTTTCATCTTCAATGCCCTTGCTGATGGAAGGAGGTTGTCACTCAAAATCTCACGATACATGGCCCCATTCATTCTTTCCTTTACACGGATCAGTCGTCCTGGTCCCTTTGCAGAAAAACAGCCCCAAAGCATGATGTTTCCACCCCCATGTTTCACAGTAGGTATGGTGTTCTTTGGATGCAACTCAGCATTCTTCTCCTCCAAACACGTCTAGTTGAGTTTTTACCAAAAAGTTCTATTTTGGTTTCATCTGACCATATGACATTCTCCCAATCCTCTTCTGGATCATCTAAATCAGTGGTCCCCAAACTAAGGCCCGCGGGCCGGGTACGGCCCGCCTCCACATCTGGCCCGGCCCCCTGAACAATACCAAAGACGCATTATGATTTTTATTTTTTATTTTATTTTTTCATTCTGGCCACGCGAATCCTAGACTAGCCCCTGTCAAAATGTTGTGACCTGCTCTATCGAAATCAGTCGCATTGACCCGAAGACACCTTTTGAGTTGTATACACTGTTGGAAAGAGGATATTCCTAGCTTTCTAATGATATCAGGATTGTTTTTGTACTTCAAATATTAAGCGAAATATGTCACATTATATAATGACTGTCACCGAGTCCTCATTTTGAGAAAAAGGCCTTCAAAGTTGTCTCTTCTCTGGAATCCATCGATCTGATTGATTATTAGCGGAGCAAATGATCAAAATACTACCGAGGGAAGATATTTTCGTTTGGAGGGGAAGCTCGCGAGTGTGTGTGTATACGTGTGTGTGTGAGTGTGTGTGCTTGTGTAATTTTGCGTTTGTGTGTATTGTGTTTGTTTCCCGGGGAAAACACTCACGAGAAACACCGGCTGTTCTTATGCCTGCCGTTCTCCGCTTGTAATTATGCCGAAGCTTCAAAGTTGTATTTATCATCTGAATTTGCCGAAACAAGTTTAATATTCTGAAAGCCAAGACTTTGTTTAATTAAAATCAGATGAAAACAAACTGTAACGGACCCTGCCGTGTTATCTATGATTACTATACTCTTACATTCATAATTTCACCGGAGTGAGGGGGGGGGGGCGGCGCTGCGGAAGAGCAGATTGCGAGTGAGAAATAAATAGGAAATAAAAGTTTCATATTCTGAAAGCCAAGACTTTGTTTGTTTAAAATCAAACAAAACACCCGAACCCCGAAAAAATAGTTTTTTTTACGTAAATCCACGTTTATTTTGAGAGATTCTGCTCTGACAACTAAGCTAAACTTTTACCTGTTAAGATTGTGCACGGCACAACAGAAAGTTACAGTAATTTTCAATGGACTTTTTTTCTGTGAAGAACCCAGAGAGGGTTATTTGGTTATTATTTATTTTATAAATAGTGTTATTTATTTCATTAATAGTGTTATTATTTATTTCCTGACTTTTTTTCTGTGAAGATCCCGGAAAGGGTTATTAATATTTGGTTATGTGTGGCTTTTTAGAAAACAATACATGTTTACGTTTAGACACCCATGCGATCGTCACACTTTTTCTGTTACAAACTGACCCGGCCCCCATCAGAGAAGGGAAAAGTTATGTGGCCCTCACAGGAAAAAGTTTGGGGACCCCTGATCTAAATGCTCTCTAGCAAACTTCAGACGGGCCTGGACATGTACTGGCTTAAGCAGGGGGACACGTCTGGCACTGCAGGATTTGAGTCCCTGGCGGCGTAGTGTGTTACTGATGGTAGCCTTTGTTACTTTGGTCCCAGCTCTCTGCAGGTCATTGACTAGGTCCCCCCGTGTGGTTCTGGGATTTTTGCTCACCGTTCTTGTGATCATTTTGACCCCACGGGGTGAGATCTTGCGTGGAGCTCCAGATCGAGGGAGATTATCAGTGGTCTTGTATGTCTTCCATTTTCTAATAATTGCTCCCACAGTTGATTTCTTCACACCAAGCTGCTTACCTATTGCAGATTCAGTCTTCCCAGCCTGGTGCAGGTCTACAATTTTGTTTCTGGTGTCCTTTGACAGCTCTTTGGTCTTGGCCATAGTGGAATTTGGAGTGTGACTGTTTGAGGTTGTGGACAGGTGTCTTTTATACTGATAACGAGTTCAAACAGGTGCCATTAATACAGTTAACAAGTGGAGGACAGAGGAGGCTCTTAAAGAAGAAGTTACAGGTCTGTAAGAGCCAGACATCTTGTTTGTTTGTAGGTGACCAAATACTTATTTTACCGAGGAATTTACCAATTAATTCATTAAAAATCCTACAATGTGATTTCCTGGATTCTTTCCCCCCATTCTGTCTCTCATAGTTGAAGTGTACCTTGGATGAAAATTACAGGCCTCTCTCGTCTTTTTAAGTGGGAGAACTTGCACAATTGGTGGCTGACTAAATACTTTTTTGCCCCACTGTAATTGCTTGTACATTTTCTGGAATTAAGTAATTGACTTGTCATTCAAGCAGTACAACTGAGAATAAATGTGCCTCCTATGAAAAAAATATCTAATATAGCGTTAAAAGTTAAGCTAATTGTAAACAAAGATAAGAAGAAAACAGATTTGTCCCCATCAGATAATAACCAGAGGAAATGCGCAACAATATAAAACCCACACGAAGAAAGGCAGGGAAGAAAATCTGACAATATATTTTTTGAAATAAATATGAGTTTTGTGTCCTCCGCCAATTTTACAGATGAGAATATTTAACCTCGTCACAAGTAGGCTACTCAAAACTGTTGCATGATCTGTGTTGTAACTCTAGAGATTTGTAAAGTTGTAAAGTATAAACTTGAATTGACAAACATTTTTGAAAGAAAGTCTGCAAATAAAGTTTAGGTGTGAGAGATGAGAGCATTGACCAGAGAGAGACGGTCTAATGATAATTGTGTTTAGTTGTATTATAGGAATTGTAGGACCCAAGGCTTATTGGGAACTGCTCCTGTTGACACCACTTAAAACAAACCACTGAAGATTGAAGAAGACACTGGTAGCTTTCCGAGGCAACAACGAGAGTACATACCACAAAACAAAGCAGTTGGGAGAATGAGAAATACAAAGCATTTGCTATTTTCAATTATATATATTTCAATTATAAAATATAATAACATTTTAGCATTACTAGTAAACGCACATGGTGTCTGAGTTCGCCATTTCATGCCAGAGTAGAGCTGTGAATCCTTAAATTGAACAAAAACTATACACAGATTAATTACCAGTATATGAAATCCACAATTGTCCTGGTCTAACCTTAGTAACTCAGTCACTTTATTTTTGATCTGATAAGGAGAATAATGAGAGTATCTGACGCCAATAATTCCCTCTGCTCAGCCAATGCTTGAATTGTCAATTCCATAATTTTAAGGGATGAATATAGACTTTATGATCACACCATGTGACAAGTGTGATGGTATATTATAAGGTTGTCTTTCTGCAGATGACAAACTAAAGGCTGTATTCTGTTTGGAAATTCCCACCTGACAAGGACAATCTTACTGCACTGTAAGATTTTCCCCTGATGATGTTATCATTCAAATAAAAACAATGTTTCGTTCTGGGAAAATTGAAAATGAAAGTGAAAGTGAAAATCTCATTAACAGGTGACTTCTTACTGTTTCTAAGTTATACAGTATATCATTACAAAACATGGAGGGCATTCATGGGTGGTGTAAAAGCTGTATACACAAGCCTACAATACAATCTGATTTTGTTTTATCCCAAAATATGAAGCTGTGGAGCTGTATGGTAGTGCTGCGTAAAATGGCGTGTACAGGCCTTTACTGGTTTACAATTTTAAAGGATTCACTAAAGTGGTACATATAAAGCATGGTAGGGGAACACACCCTCCAAGCACACATGTGTATTAGAGCATATCTTACCACACTGCGGTTTCCGCTGGTGTCCCTCAGCGCCAGTCGGAACTCTCCGGCCCGGCTCGGGTCCATGCTGAGCTGCAGCCGCAGAGCCTCGCTGCCGGTACCGGGGAGGCACAGGGGCCGGATCCCGGAATGACACACCGACACCCGGACTGACATTAACACAGTGCTGCAGCAGGGAGTAAACGCTGTCCCGCCGCCGCCGCATGCAGCCTGCTGAGACGAGGCAGGCACCGGGGCTGGAGGAGCCCAGCCGCCTGAGCTGAGAGCCATGTCGCGGACACTTCAAGGCGGAGTGAGGGTGTTGAAGCCCCGCGGCAGGTGCTACTGCGGCCCGCTGCTTCTGTGCGGTTTACAAGGTCCACCGGTGTCTGGAGACAGCGCGTTTCTTCACGGGGAAACTGTGGTTGACTTCTCGCCCCGCGAATTCCATTTCTACCCGACCCGAGCAGAGGGGTAGAAAGAAAAACAAAACAGGAAGTAGAAAGGTACGTCTTTTATTTATGTCCGTGGAGAAACGTGTCTATGGAACAACCGATCAAACCTCTTGAATGAATGAAATTCATACAAAAGCTAAAAGTGGTAGAAAATATTATATATATATTTATATCAATTTAATAATGTTAACAGTAGATAAAGCGAAAGAAAGTGGTGTAAAAATGGTTTACTCCACTACATTTAATTAAAAAAACTAATTAATTGTATGCTTATTCTAGTTGTGTAAAGTACTAAGTACTTACTTACTTACTTACAGTACTCAAGTACTGTACTTTAATACAATTTTGAGATACTTGCACTTTTCTTGAGTATTTCAATTGTTTGCTGCTTTGTACTTCTACTCCACTACAACTCAGAAGTAAATAGTGTACTTTTACTCCACTACATTTATTTAATACCTTTAGTTACTTTGCAGATTTGTATTAATAATGTGAAATATTTTCAACGCTTGAATACGAGTTTAGTTAAACCTGGAGTAAATCTACCATGCAGTACACAAAGTAACTAGCTGCACCTTTACCAGCTTTCATAAATACATTAATGCATCAATAATTATAATCAAAACTTATAATATATAAATCTGAAATTGGCACATTTTCATAATGAGTACATTTACTTGTGGTACTATGAGTATATTTAGATTATTATACATTTGTACTTTTTCTTGAGTCACATTTTGAATGCAGGATGTTTACTTTTAACAGAAGTTTTCTACACAGTACTACTGTAGTAAAGTACTGTGTGGACGGCCCGTCCACACAGCGGCGTGCGTTAAAGTAATACTTCTACTTTTTACTCAAGTAAAAGACCTGAGTACTTCTCCCACCTCTAGCTTATTCAGATGTAAAATATATATTTAAAACAATATATAAACATTTGGTAGAAAACTGAATGAAAGTATTCTTAATTTGTTATTAAAATATTAAATGAATGTCCTAATATTAATCTATTACTATGATACCCATCTTTTTACCACTGCCAATCGTTTAGTGAAGTTAAACATTACTTGCTCAGTAATCTTCTCAAATAAATCTGACATTCATACTACAAAAGTTACTGATAAAAACCTTTGGGCATGTATTGCAGTTGTTGAGCATAATTTTAAAAAAGCCTGATTTGTAGGTGTCAAATCCGTGCCTGGAAGTTAATATTTAAGACAGAGGAAAATGATTACACAGAAGCTTGTCTCTAAACTGCACTGACTGTGAATAAATACCAAATATCCTCAATGTATTTAACTAGAGATCATGTATAATAGGGAATTATTTATTTATTCCCTATTCAAGCAACACATCGTTTTTAGATAGAGGGTGGCCTTTAGGACTACATGTGTGTAGTTACCTGTATTGCTCCTCCTCTGATATCATTGCCCAAGCACTAAAACCTGCAGGAGATCAGTCTGAATCTGAAGAATATGGAGAAGTTAGATTCTACAGTCCTCGCCAGACGAGCAAACCAGATCAAGGAAGAGCTCAGACAGGTAAAGAAAGGGGTTATAGACATATTTGCAAAATGGTTTCTGTCAGCCACATTTCCATCCTGTTGTTTTGCTTTAAATTCACTGTCTGCAGAAATTGAGAAAGCCATACAAGCAAGTGATAGATCTGTACTGGGGAGACCCGCACGCTGCAGGTGTGAAGCCTCTGTCCTTTGTCCGACAGGTAATCTGTAACCTTCAAAGTCCATCTTTAGACTGTATTACAATTAATATGCAGGTTCATACATCTTCTGAATACAAATGCATGTCTTATCTATTGTGTGTCTTCTCTTTTGCAGGTTCTAGCAGCTTGTCTTTACCCTGATCTTGTGAACAGCAACACGCTTCCAGTGGACGTCAGACAGAGGGCTCAGAGGCTGCTTGGGGAATGTGCCGGAGGGAGTGTAGGTAAGATATGTGCATGTGTTATATTATTTAAATGAAATGTTATGGAGTTATGGGATATCTGTCTTCAAGATTTCTGGACCATTTAACCCATTCAAATAATGTTTTTACCATTACTTTTTCTTTTGCATACAAGCTTAGTTATTTTAAGTTTATGGAATACATTACATAAAGAAAACGGAAATCTGGATACCTCATTTTGCAACTAGGGCAGAGATGTGTGTACTATGCAGATATATAGATATATAGATATATACTTAATTTATCCAAAATTGGGATTTGATTTTGTTCCAGCAGCAGTGTCAAGCATTACATGAGTTAAAAATGTTTAAGAGACATAAGATACAAATGTAAAAAAATAAAATAATAACATTAGTGGCAATTATATATATAGTAAGAATATAAATAAAAAATTCAAAATGCATAATATAAGGGTAGGTAATAAGATATACAATATGCTTAAAAAGATACTGAAGTATATCATTTTTTTAAAATCCTACATGTGCTTAGCCTTGATGCAGTTTTTAAGCCCTATATAAATAAAACTGTGTAAATGCTATTATACAAATACAAATTAATCCAATTATGTAGCATAAAACAAGGTTATAAAATAAATGCAATAAAAATACAACCATTTTTACTACCAACATTATTGCGTTTCCTAAGCTTTCCTGGTTATTCCTTCAGGTTCTTATACTGCTACAGCTGGCATACCAGAAATAGTCCACAGAATCTCTGAATTCATAACCAAACGAGATGGCGGGGCTCCATCAGACCCTGAAAACATCTACATCAGCCCCGGCTCTCAGTGGGCTCTCAGGGTAATAATGACTGAAATACTGCCATACTGTGTCTGTTCTTCCTGGATCATCATCATCTTTGAGTTAAATTAATCTGTTCCTGTGTTTATTAGAACATTCTCAAGGTCTTGGTGAACAGCCAGGCTTCCCCCAGAACAGGTGTGCTGACTCCAGGGCCGTGCTACCCCCTCACCAATTTTACAATAAAAGAGTTGGGAGGAGTTACTGTCCCGTACTACCTCAGCGAGGAGCAGGGCTGGGAGCTGCAGGTGGAGGAGCTGCATCGAGCGCTGGACTCTGCAAAGGGACTCTGCAACCCTGTCGCTCTGTATGTCATCAACCCTGGAAATCCCGCAGGTAGTCAAATCCAAACAGAATTGACATCATCTAAGTATATCTTTTGAATCATAGAATATGGTATCATGCCATGCCGTGTTTCCTGTAGGTTATGTTCAAAGCAGAAAGACAATGCAAGAGGTGATCCGGTTTGCTTCAGAGAAGAGGCTCTCCCTCCTGGCTGATGAGGTCTTAAAGCATTGTCATCTAACCAGAGAATTCATCAAGAGTGACAGAAATGTGTAAATAAACACTTGGATCTTCTGTGATCTCCTCCACAGGTCTATCAGGAATGTGTTCATGGGGAAAAGAGTGAGTTTCTCTCTTACAAGAGAGTTCTGTCTGAGATGGGTCCTCCTCTCTCAGACACGGTGGAGCTGGCATCCTTCCACTCAGCATCCAAAGGCTTCATGGGAGAGTACGTTCTGTGTCGTACTGTCTGCGCTCTATTTCCTGAACAATAGAAGACAATTAAAATCATTATTCAAGAGCGCAAACTTGGACATACAACAGGATAAATTACACATAGATTAAAGTCAGTGAAGCTAATTTATTTTAGGTAGTTTTCTGACAAAGAGTCAACTGATGTGTTGTTGTGCTGTTGTTTAAGGTAGCCTACATTTTAGGCTCACAGTTGGCAAAACGTTAATCTGGTTTTGGATTCTTTATTCTCTAGTGAGGCTTGCCAGAATTAATTAATCATTCATTGACAATGAATGAATACAAATGGTTGTTTGAGGGGTCAAGTATTTCTGAAGGAAAGAAAAATAATGTCACTACAAGATTGACAAGATAAGAAGTTCTAAAAGTGCTCAGAACAATACAATTGAATACGTTTCTATAACAGCTGGGCTGTACGCATATGAAGATCAGGCTCGGGCAAATATATGCAGATCAGGGACTCTTCATTTTTCTCTCTCCCCCAGATGTGGTCTGCGTGGTGGATATGTGGAGCTGGTAAATCTGGACCCTGATGTTATGAAATGCATCTACAAGCTGTTCTCCGCCGACACCTGTGCTCCTGTGTTGAGCCAGATTGCCCTGGATCTGATGACCAACCCTCCACAACCAGGAGATCCATCGTACCCACTGTATAGTGAGGTGAGCTCAGAGATAACTAATTCAGATGTCTATTTTGCAGGATGCCTAATATCCTGGTTTTCTCAAGCAGTTTTAAAATAGGAAACCTCAATGATTGTTTTGTTCTTGCCTTTAACTTCTGCAGGAGACACAACACATCAAGACTATGATGGTTCATAATGTAAAGAGAGTCTTTGAGGTATTGAACAGCCTGCCGGGTTTCTCCTGCAAGCCGGTGGAAGGAGGTGCCTTCGCATTCCCCAGACTGCACCTTCCACCTAAAGCCATTCAGAAGGCCAAGGTTATATATCTCATAGAACCAAGTACACACAGCAATATCACGAACAAGTGTCACATGTGGTAATTAATCATTTGGTTATATCTTTGCTTATTTTAGGAAATGGAAATGGAACCAGATTTGTTCTACTGTATGAGACTCCTGGAGGAAGCTGGTGTGTTAGTCAAACCTGGCATGGAGAACGGACCAAAGGACGGCACCCACCACATCAGGTAACATATTTAACTGCCTACTAAGCAAAAGAGTAATTTCTAGTAAAGCAGTCTGTAATACATTAACGCACATCCATAAGACATTACAATGTGTTCATGCTTTGTAACTACATTAAAGGTGGGGTAGGTAAGTTTGAGAAATCGGCTCGAGATACACTTTTTGTTATATTCCATGGAATGCTCTTAACATCCCGATAGCAATGAATATCTTAAGTGCTTTGACAACAAATCCATAACAAAATGTCATCTGTGGAAGCCGTGGTACTGTGAAAAGCACGACCAATCATCTGAGCCGGCTCGGCTAAAATAACTGGATGGCCTACCTGCCTGTCAGCCTTCCATCTGTGCACAAACTTATCTCGTGCCCTCATTGGTCATGTGCGCGTTCGTGTGTGTTGGAGGAGGGGCTCTGTAAGGAAGTGGCAGATTTTTTCCGGCTGTCTATTTTCAAATTCTAGCGCACTCGAGCTGGTTTCTCCAAAATTACCGACCCCACCTTTAACATCTTTATAATAATGCATGACAACTCATTAGGTTTTTAGAGTATTAAAGGTGGTGGACATAATTTAGTAAGGTTTCAACATTTATAACGCGTTATACTTCAATGCCAAAGGGATCACGGAGTTCATGTAATTGGTCATCTATTAAAGGGCATGAAGCAATTTATTGTTAGAAAAAGTTTTTGTTGCAAAGCTAGGTACCTATTTGCAACCCATCCTAACATTAACCCAGTAGCTCAGCTCACCTTTCTACAGCAATGTCCTGCTTCACTCTTTGTTGCACATTCACAGCAGTCCAGGGAGATGGGCTTCTATTTCCCCACTCTCGTCGTACCATTGGACACTGTTGGTCTGATGTTGTGCGGTTTTAATTACACTTTACTTGTAGCAAGCATACACTGCTCAAAAGTCCTCGTAATTTAGTGGGAATGCTGATAACAGCATTCCAACTATCTGTTATGCTACGCACAAAAGGTTTATTATTATTCTGCCGGTATTTTGGCCCTCTTCTCCTCCCGCATTGAACATCGCAGAAACTCCGTTCAAACATCAAAACGTTCAACTCGGTCGGGAATCAATGGCTATTACTTTTCTCATTCATAACTTTCATAATTCCAGAGATACATCCAATAATTCATCACATTTTTAACATGGAAGTCAATGGACAAATTCTTCAGACTTCACCAAATCTTCATGCGACTTCAACTGCTAACTGCTCCTTCATACTTTCACTCAGAAACCTCATTCCAACTTTAAAATGTTACACATCTTTCTGACATTATTCGTGAAACACAACTTTTAAATCTGATTCTTATTTTTAGAGATATGAAACATTGTTCAGACCTTGGTAAAGAGGCCTTCTTCAGATTTTAACATTAACTAGAGTGCGTGATGTCACAGCTAGAGGGTAGGAAATCTTGAAATTTGTCTTCATTATTTTTTTTTAAACTGCCATAATTCCCAAACCCTACATTCCCGAGACATAATCTTTCATGACAAACGTAGGAAAACATCTTGTAGCTTGAAAGATGACAAATAATTAAGCAAAATAATTCAACAAAATGCCTCTTGAGGGCATGAAGTGACAAACACTTTCAACATGTCTCCATTAAAGCCCGTTGTAATTTCAGGCTGATATTTCCTCACGGCAGCAGCCGCACACCTTTAGTTAAACTGCCAAAAAGGCCACATTATTAACCCGAAAGTACACAAAAATTACACTTCAGATACTCAACTTCCTTGACATGCTTCACGTTTTGGAACTTCACAGATATCTGTTACAGTTCTTCAACAAAACGTTCACATGTAACAGGTTTATCTCTCATTCAGAACAATGAAAATGCTCTCCTCTCACTGATTACTGCATGTTGACACATCGTTAGCTCAAATATAAACACCTGTGTCATGGAACACGATGATGTCATAACTCCAACTGACATGCTCAGAGCAGCAGACTTCAGATAACGGTTAATGGTCCTGCCCTCAACAGCTCTACATCAATTATGGGGTGTCATCATATGCCGTTTCCATGGAAATGCATCCCTTGCCATAAAAGACGATGTCCCTATAACTCCTATGAAAATGTTCAAAAAGTGCTCAAACTTCACATGTGTGCTAACAGTCCAGCCATGAAGACATCTACGGGACAGTTTTGAGATTTCTTCAAATGCTGTTGCCATGGCAACACAATGCTCGCCGTGAAACACGGTTTTCTCATAACTAAAGTGAAAATGCTCCAAATGGCCCAAAACTTCACAGGTTTGGTAACGATGCAGCCACGCATCAACGCATCTAAGCATATTATGGGATGTCATCAAATGCCGTTGGCATGGCGACAGATCATTCACCATCAAGTTAGTTCAAAAGTTTGCAGTTCAAATATTCTGCTGCTTTTCCAAGCCTTTTTACTTTCTTTTCTTCTCTCATCACACATTCAAGCCCCCAGTGTTCAGTATCATTTCAATCTAAATTATTCACTTTCTTCTTACATGTTACATTTCAGCATAGCAGTTCAGCGTCAGCTTTTCAGCATAAAGCATTCCCACTATCAATTTCTTCAGGAATTGCATTCTCTAGTTTATAATCTGTTATGATAGATCCGGTCTTCATGTGTCTTCATAATGTGAATGGCTAAAGTAGTTAGAATACGCTGGGTTGGAATTTGATTATTGTTTCATACAATGTCACTTTGGCATGGTATTATAAACACATTATCAGGTCCTATGAATGTGTTTGTTCTGCATTACAGACATGACCATCATTGAAAGTATAATTCATACATGTTTATTCAGCACAAGTGGACTTTTTTCCTTTAACTCTTTCTCTGTGTAGATTCTGCATTATTACCCCTGAGGACACCATGGAAGAAATGCTGAGCCACCTGAGCAGCTTTCACACACAGTTTATGAAAGACTTTTCTTGAATGAAGGCACTATTATTGTTTATTTTGTTATCTATAATCAGTTAAATAATTAAGTTGAAACAATAAAAATGGTCTGATCATTTACCTCATGTTGGCATGTGAGCATTTTTTGCAATAAATATGACATTCATTATTGCATGCAGTCCATTTGACCTTTGGTCTAGGTCAAATTCAACTTCTGTTTTCCAGAAAAAACCAATATCCATAAATTACCGAACACAGTCCAAAATCCAAACCAATGGATTCCCTCACATCACATGGAAGTTCATAATTTACCTCAACAATACCAGCAGGACACTGCAGATAACTGTGGGGCTCTGCTCATATACTGTATACTAACTTTCTTTTAATAAAAAACATTCCCATGAGACCACCATCCTCTTTGCTTCCTCTCTACCAGCCAGAATATTATCCACACTCCAATGAAAGTCCTGGATGTCATTAATCCACCTCACAGTTTCATCCCACAGGCCATAAGACTGTTAAACACCAGCATTTTTTAAACAACATCCACAACATTAATCTGGCTGCAATTTAGAAATTATTTATCTAATATATCAAATTCAATCACTTGCATATAGACTCTTATTGCACTATTCCACTATTTCACTTTTTTTAAAAGCTATTTTTCTTTTTGTATTTACTTGCACTATTTTTTCTGTTTTATTGTACTGCACTGTTGGAGGAGCCAGTGACCTAAGATTTTCATCGTCATAACTATACTGTAGCTATCTGTACGCATGACCAATAAAAGCCTTGAACCTTGAACCTATATCATGTATAATAGGGAATTATTTATTTCTTCCCTACTCAAGCAACACGGAGGAGGTGAGTTTGTAGCTGTTCTACATTGGTGTTTTATCCTATCATTTACTTGTGTGTTTTATGCCTTTTATACATTTTATAGTTGTATTTTGTACTGTGTACTACTGTATGTAAAGCACTTTGTACATTTGTGTTGAGAAGGGTGCTATATAAATAAAGTTGTACTTACTTACTTACTTCACACATCGTTTTTAGATAGGAATAGTCGGGTGGCTTTTAGGACTACATCTGTGTAGTTACCTGTATTGCTCCTCCTCTGATATCATTGCCCAAGCACTAAAACCTGCAGGAGATCAGTCTGAATCTGAAGAATATGAAGAAGTTAGATTCTACAGTCCTCGCCAGACGAGCAAACCAGATCAAGGAAGAGCTCAGACAGGTAAAGAAAGGGCTTATTGACATATTTTCAAAATGGTTTCTGTCAGCCACATTTCCATCCTGTTGTTTTGCTTTAAATTCACTGTCTGCAGAAATTGAGAAAGCCATACAAGCAAGTGATAGATCTGTACTGGGGAGACCCGCACGCTGCAGGTGTGAAGCCTCTGTCCTTTGTCCGACAGGTAATCTGTAACCTTCAAAGTCCATTTTTAGACTGGGATTAATATGCAAGCTCATACATCTTCTTCTGAATAGAAATGCATGTCACTCTTATCTACTATGTGTCTTCTCTTTTGCAGGTTCTAGCAGCTTGTCTTTTCCCTGATCTTGTGAACAGCAACACGCTTCCAGTGGACGTCAGACAGAGGGCTCAGAGGCTGCTTGGGGAATGTGCCGGAGGGAGTGTAGGTAAGATATGTGCATGTGTTATATTATTAAAATGAAATGTTATGGAGTTATGGGATATCTGTCTTCAAGATTTCTGGACCATTTAACCCATTCAAATAATGTTTTTACCATTACTTTTTCTTTTGCATACAAGCTTAGTTATTTTAAGTTTAGGAATATATTACATAAAGAAAACGGAAATCCGGATACCTCATTTTGCAACTAGGGCAGAGATGTGTGTACTATGCAGATAGAGATAGATATTTAATTTATTTATCCCAAGTTGGGATTTGATTTGGTCAAGCATTACATGAGTTAAAAATGTTTAAGAAATACAATAACATAAAAATGTATTTAAAAAAGTACATTTAATTAATAGTAAGAATATAAATAACAAATTCAAAATGCATAATATAAGGGTAGGTAATAAGATATACAATATGCTTAAAAAGATACTGAAGTATATCGGTTTTTTAAAATCATATATGTGCTTAGCCTTGATGCAGTTTTTAAGCCCTATATTAATAAAACTGTAAATGCTATTATATAAATTCAAATTCATTCAATGATGTAGCATAAAACAAGGTTATAAAATAAATGCAATAAAAATACAACCATTTTTACTACCAACATTATTGCGTTTCCTAAGCTTTCCTGGTTATTCCTTCAGGTTCTTATACTGCTACAGCTGGCATACCAGAAATAGTCCACAGAATCTCTGAATTCATAACCAAACGAGATGGCGGGGCTCCATCAGACCCTGAAAACATCTACATCAGCCCCGGCTCTCAGTGGGCTCTCAGGGTAATAATTACTGAAATACTGCCATACTGTGTCTGTTCCTCCTGGATCATCATCATCTTTGAGTTAAATTAATCTTTTCCTGTGTTTATTAGAACATTCTCAAGGTCTTGGTGAACAGCCAGGCTTCCCCCAGAACAGGTGTGCTGACTCCAGGGCCGTGCTACCCCCTCACCAATTTTACAATAAAAGAGTTGGGAGGAGTTACTGTCCCGTACTACCTCAGCGAGGAGCAGGGCTGGGAGCTGCAGGTGGAGGAGCTGCATCGAGCGCTGGACTCTGCAAAGGGACTCTGCAACCCTGTCGCTCTGTATGTCATCAACCCTGGAAATCCCACAGGTAGTCAAATCCAAACAGAATTGACATCATCTAAGTATATATTTTGAATCATAGAATATGGTATCATGCCATGCCGTGTTTCCTGTAGGTTATGTTCAAAGCAGAAAGACAATGCAAGAGGTGATCCGGTTTGCTTCAGAGAAGAGGCTCTCCCTCCTGGCTGATGAGGTCTTAAAGCATTGTCATCTAACCAGAGAATTCATCAAGAGTGACAGAAATGTGTAAATAAACGCTTGGATCTTCTGTGATCTCCTCCACAGGTCTATCAGGAATGTGTTCATGGGGAAAAGAGTGAGTTTCTCTCTTACAAGAGAGTTCTGTCTGAGATGGGTCCTCCTCTCTCAGACACGGTGGAGCTGGCATCCTTCCACTCAGCATCCAAAGGCTTCATGGGAGAGTACGTTCTCTGTCTGCCTTCTACTTCCCGAACAATAGCAACTTTTTACTTTTTAACATAGCAAACTTGAACATACAACAGGATAAATTAGTTATAAATTAAAGGATAATGAGCTATTTGTCTGACAAAGAGCCAACTGATGTTTTGTTGTGCTATTGTTTAAGGTATACTACATTTTAGGCTCACAGTGGGCCAAACCTTTCTCTGTTTTTGGATTCTTTATTCTCTAGTGAGGCTTGCGAGAAAAGCAGATGTTTCTTCAAGAAACCAACTTAGCACTGGCTCATTAAAACCTGTTAAGCCCGAGAGACCCCGGTACCGGGGCCCTCCTGCAACATATTGCAGGAAACAGTGTCTGAGAGGGCATGTTAATTTAATAAACTATGAATGTTTTATATCCATGTAACGGGAAGAAACTCATCTAACTGATCATTTTAAATAAAATTAAATTTAAAAAAAACACAATGCTAACGCTGAGCCTCTGAATTAGCAACGAGCGAAAAATGCTAACAGATTACTGCACCGAAATTCACTCACAAAACCTTATTATGTATCTTTGCTGCACATCCAACCCATCGTTTCACATCGTGAGGGGACACAGAATCGAGGGGTACCCTTCATTATCATTCAATTATACGAACTCTCTGAGATAATAACAAGAACAGACATCAACATATATGGCGCTAGGTAGCTAAAAACGCTAACATGGCTCACCTGTGTCGTAGTCTGGTCAAAAGTGGTCTTCATGGCATTAAAACGATACAAAAACGCTGCTGAAGTTAATCCATAGGTTAATCCAGTGGTTCTCAAACTTTTTCTGTCAGGCCCCCCCTTTGGAGAAAAAAAAAAGTCGGGCCCCCCCAACACAAATAGTCAGGCTCAGTGGAGGTGCCAGATATTTATTTTGGGGTGCTTGACGTTTCATAGAGCGTGCTCAAACATTTAGGGTTTCCCATTAATGTACCGGTCACTAGTGGACATTTCTACTGTAACACTCCCCACGCAAATATACAGTGTGACAGTTACAATGAAGGCTCGAGGCATATAGGTATAAGCAGGGGTAAATTGCTATTTTTATAGGTGGTGTGTGGACCTCACATAGGGGGGTCCGGGGGCAAGCTCCCCCGGGAAGATTTCTTTTTAAATATTGAAGTTAAATGCATCAATCTGGTGCACTTTGAGAGCAACATGAAGAGATCTATGGATACATCTCTCAACAACACCCATATGAAACAGAACTGTAAACAGATTTACTATTTCTTTATGGATATTTTACAAATAACCCTTTTAAACTTTATTCTTGTTTTACTGCCATATAGTAGGCCTATTTCATACCTGTTTTTCATTTATTCTCTTATTTTTTTATAACTATAATGATCACTATAAACGTGTGCCTTGGAAATAATTGTTTACATTAATGGTGACCAAAACGTTTGAGACCCACTGAGATAACACTGAGAGAGTCCTTTAGCTCACGGAGTCTCTCAGTCTGACAGGAGACTCAACTTTGTTGTTGAAAAAACTCCTTATTACCGTTAGCGTAGCTCGCTAGCACCAGAAGCTAACAACAACGATCTCCGGTACCGGTGCTCTCTCTCTCTCTCTCTCTCTCTCTCTCTCTCTCTCTCTCTCTCCTCTCTCTCTCTCTCTCTCTCTCTCTCTCTCTCTCTCTCTCTCTCCTCTCTCTCTCTCTCTCTCTCTCTCTCGCACCCACACACAGAGCCGAGCTTTAATGAAACACAGAGACCCAGACGTAATAGTACTGTACTGCATCATATTATTTTTCAATTTCAATTATTTTTCAATTTCAATTTTTTGTTCGCGCCCCCCACTTTGAGAACCACTGGGTTAATCCAATGTGTCTGTGTCCCTTTGAAATGATTTCTGATAATCCATGAGCAATAAACCTGCTTTTCGGTTTTCAGATGTCAGAGTGAGAGATAGGTTCACTCTCATGCAAAACTGGGTGGGCGAAGCCCCCACCTTTTTGTTTTACCATGTGTGTGAGTGGGGAGATTCCCCTTTGATTATATTGGCTCTAATGGTCAGAAAGAGATGTCAATCACCAAAATCGACCAATGGGTTCCAGAGAAACGGTAAAACCCCCATTTCCACCCAAATCATCTCATAGGTGGAGTTTTTTTGCTAAACCTCTCTAAAAAGGTCAAATGTCACTTGTTGTTGCATCAATCTTGATACAGGGCATTTATTATATGTTGTACTTTGGATTCCTAAAGCTTTTAGTCTACCTTACCATCATCCAAGGGTAGTTTTCACTATAAGTAACAAATTATTTTTGGACGGACACTATAATTTACAGTTTTTTACTATGTTCAATCTGAATTTTCTTTCAAATAAAAAACATCTATATTGATTCTGACTTTTCTACATCCAACCCACAGGTTTATCATTACTTTGAGAAAAAGGATTATTAATTTAACCCTTTTAGAAGGGAAGATATGGTCATTTGTTCTGGGAATGTCATTTTCGAGCCTGAGAACTTAAAAACAGGCTCAGGGCTAAACTGGTTTTAATTTAAATACAAATGGTTGTTTACAGGGTCAAGTATTTCTCAAGGAAAGAAAGATAACCATGATCTTGGAAACATGAACAAAAATGTCACTACAAGATTGACAAGATAAGAAGTCCTAAAAGTGCTCAGAACAATACAATTGAATATCTATGAGTTTCTATAACAGCTGGGCAAACATATGAAGATCAAGCTCGATAACAAGCTACTCAGGGACTCTTCATTTTTCTCTCTCCCCCAGATGTGGTCTGCGTGGTGGATATGTGGAGCTGGTAAATCTGGACCCTGATGTTATGAAATGCATCTACAAGCTGTTCTCCGCAGACACCTGTGCTCCTGTGTTGAGCCAGATTGCCCTGGATCTGATGACCAACCCTCCACAACCAGGAGATCCATCGTACCAGTGAGGTGAGATCAGAGAAGCAATTCAGATTTCTATTTTGCAGGATGCCTAATATCCTGGTTTTCTCAAGACGTTTTAAAATAGGAAACCTCAAGTCCTCTGTATTTTTGTGTTCTTGCCTTTAACTTCTGCAGGAGACACAACACATCAAGACTATAGAGGCTTCTCAATACTCAAATGTCCCCTCCTCGACTCCCCTCCTCGGTTCCCCTCCTCGAGACTTAGACCCGCCCACAGGAGATGCGAGCGGAGGACCGAGGAGGGGAACCGAGGAGAGGAACCGAGGAGAGAGGAGGGGAAGCAGCAGACGTTTAAAGAAATGAGAACTCCTCTCCTCTGAGCGGTCATTTAAAGAGACGTCCGTTCATTATTACGTGGCAACAGCTGCATCAGCTGTCGAGTGTTTTGTCATAGCGCTGTATTTTTATAATTTCTGTTAGATCAGCTGAACATTGTTCCCCCACATATTTACTTTGAATTCATTGAGAGTGCGGTATAATGAGACAATAACAGGCTACAGATGCGGACACACACAAATATATTTATATAAATATATACAATTTAAAGTATGAGAGCACTCTCATAATAACGTAACACAATCAGAGACTGGATATATCCCCCCCTCTCTCTGGTCGCTGAAATGGGCAATTGAAATTACGGGCCAAAAGTTGTATTTACAAGTAGCCTATTAAAAGTAAGCATAGGACACCAAACCAACTGAGACCCGTCGGTCCGCCGCATTTACGCACTGTACAACACACACCTACACACTGTACCACATACACCTACACACTGTACCACACACACCTACAGCTCCTAAAGCATAAGCCGTTGTGTATTTTATTATGTGAAGCAATGGTCTTAGAAAAATATCGACTCTTTGTTTGTAGATATCTACTAAACTAAAGCAAATAAAGAGAGTAGGCCTGTTATACTGAGTGATATATATTATACACACTGCTCTGCTTTCTGCATGGACCTTACAGCTGTTCTCTCTGGAAACATCGCGACGCGATGAAAGCAGTTTCTAAAATAATATCCAGGGGATGCATGCATAGCTGTCATTGGCTGAGATAAGTCCGGCCGTGCGTCACGCCTCCACCGTTCCCGGAAATGCATCCGTGGAGGAGCCGTGGAGGAACCATCAGTGTATCCTCGGTTAGAGCTCCTCCAGAGAGCCTCCTCGACGCTCGATCCTCGGTCCTCGGTGTGCATTTAGAGAAATGAGATGTCCTTCACTACCGGAGGACCGAGGAGTCGAGGAGGGGAAATTTGAGTATTGAGAAGCCTCTTATGATGGTTCATAATGTAAAGAGAGTCTTTGAGGTATTGAACAGCCTGCCGGGTTTCTCCTGCAAGCCGGTGGAAGGAGGTGGCTTCGCATTCCCCAGACTGCATCTTCCACCTAAAGCCATTCAGAAGGCCAAGGTTATATATCTCATAGAACCAAGCAGTAGCGTGGCGTGGGGAAAAATGTAGGGGAAGCCCATTTTTTGGGTCGGGGGGGTGGTCAATAACGTAACCAGATGAGTGATTACAGCACCCGGTATCATTTTTACACACATTTGTATCACACAGATGCAGGACTTGCACTCGCCTGTTATCTAACCGAAAGGTCCGCACGCACTCTCCAGCTGAAACTCTCCTTATTAATTTAAGCATTTTACTTATTAATGTATGCAGACAATCACACAATCTATGTGATTTTTGGATTTACCGTGCCTCTCAATTGCCCGTGACAGGTTGGCAAGGTCGATGAATCCTGAAGTTGCCCAAGGATTGTTCAGGGAGCACGAATCCTTGTCAAAAAGAAGACATGGCCAGCAAAATAGACGCTGAAGTTTAGCGCTTCCAGTTAGCCACTCCGTGCGGACATAATTGTCCACATTGAACGTCCGATTCTCTCCCTTTTTCCTCTGTGTACACACAGCTCGAGTGCGGGCATTGGCCTGTCATCTGATTTAATTTTCAGTTGCTGCTGTAGCGGAAGTTTAGTAAAGTTATGTTTGATTAAGTACGCCAAATCTCCACCCTCCATAATGCTTCATTTGCTTGATAATTTCTGACGGCGGTGATGACAGTTACAGTATTAAAACTGATGTTGATGTGATTTGATTGGATGGCAGTGTCCAATCAAATCGCTAGCCGCCAGCCGCCTCTGAAGGGAAGCAAGAGGCGGCTGGCTTCCCTTGGCATGGCCTTGACCAATCACAGGTTGGCAGGGGCATCACGTGGGCCTCATCTGATTGGTCAATCCCTCCATTTTTTTTCACCAAGGGAAGCTAGATTCGGCTGGCCTCCTCTCGCAACAGAGAGTGCAATCTACTGTTTCACCATAACATCTAGAGGGGCGCTGTTTGTTTCACTCTTTGTAAAATACTCAATGAGAATGGGGGAGCGACGGGCCGGCAGCAACACACAGCAAAGGAGAATTATCGAAACAAAACAAAGTGTTTTTATTTATTTATTTAAATTATAACTACAATCCGAAAAAACAAGGGAAGCCTGGCTTCCCTTGGCCTCCGGGAGAAAACGCCACTGGAACCAAGTACACACTGCAAAATCACAGCAATATCACCAACAATAAATAATCATTTGGTTATGTTTTTGTTTATATTAGGAAATGGAAATGCAACCAGATTTTTCTACTGAGACTCCTGGAGGAAGCTGGTGTGTTAGTCAAACATGGCATGGAGAACGGACCAAAGGAGGGCACCCACATCAGGTAAAAATATTTAACTGCCTTTACTAAGCATTTAATTTAATTTCAAACCTTTATTTAACCAGGTGGTCCCATTAACATCATCGATCTCTTTGTCAAGGGAGACCTGCAAAATAGTTTTTCCTAGTAAAAAATAACCAGACCATAATGCATTACCGCACATCCATAAGACATTACAATGTGTTTTGTAACTACATTAACATCTTTATAATAATGCATGAGTACTATAAGGGGTGGACATATTTTACTAAGGTTTCAACATTTATAACGCGTTATACTTCAATGCCAAAGGGATCACGGAGTTCATGTAATTGGTCATCTATTAAAGGGCATGAAGCAATTTATTGTTAGAAAAAGTTTTTGTTGCAAAGCTAGGTACCTATTTGCAACCCATCCTAACATTAACCCAGTAGCTCAGCTCACCTTTCTACAGCAATGTCCTGCTTCACTCTTTGTTGCACATTCACAGCAGTCCAGGGAGATGGGCTTCTATTTCCCCACTCTTGTCGTACCATTGGACACTGTTGGTCTGATGTTGTGCGGTTTTAATTACACTTTACTTGTAGCAAGCATACACTGCTCAAAAGTCCTCGTAATTATGTTTTAGTATCAACTGCTTATAACCCTAAACAGTCACTTTAGTTTAAGTTCACAAAGTCCTGTTATAAGTCCTTATAAGTCCTGTTGTAAGTGATGTTTCTAAGACATTTCAGAAATGGATCATTATGATACATATCTGGTCTTCATGCGTCTTCATAATGTGAATGGCTAAAGTAGTTAGAATACGTTGTGTTGGAATTTGATATTTGTTCATACAATGTCACTTTGGCATGGTATTATAAACACATTATCAGGTCCTATGAAGGTGCTTGTTCTAAGACAGACATGACCATCATTGAAAGTATAATTCAGACATGTTTATTCAGGATTAGTGGACTTTTTACCTTTAACTCTTTCTTTGTGCAGATTCTGCATTATGAACCCCGAGGACACCATGGAAGAAATACTGAGCCGCCTGAGCAGCTTTCACACAGTTTATGAAAGACTTTTCTTGAATGAAGGCACTCAGAAAAAAGCCATGAATTATTATTGTTTATTTTGTTATCTATGATCAGTTAAATGATGAAGCTGAACTAACAATGGTCTGATAATTTACCTCATGTGAGCATTTTTTGCAATACATATGACATTCATTATTGCATGCAGTCCGTTTGACATTTGGTCTAGGTCAAATTCAACTTATGTTTTCCAGAAAAAACTAATATCCATAAATTACCGAACACAGTCCAAAATCCAAACCAATGGATTTCCTCACATCACATGGAAGTTCATCATTTACCTCAACAATACCAGCAGCACACTGCATATAACTTTTTTTTAATAAAAAACATCCCCATGAGACCACCATCCTCTTTGCTTCCTCTCTACCAGCCAGCCACACTCCAATGAAAGTCCTGGATGTCATTAATCCACCTCACTGTCGCTGTGGTCGGTCTGAGCAGAAGGGTTTGACTCTGTGTTGTTGAGCAGCTGTACCAGTAAGGAGATGAGCTTTCCGTCTTGAGAAGAGTTGATGATTGCGTTACTGGGGTTGCTGAGGTTGCGGTACATCATGCTCTGAATGGAGGTGCGTAGCTGCCACAGCAGTTCCCAGGTGTCAACCGGCAACTCACAGCGCACCAGAGAGCGTCCAGGAAATGAGACCTCCACTCTGTCTCCGTTCACTGGGACAGGAGGGAAAGGACAGGGTTATTTATGAAGAGGAGAAATGACTGTCTGTGAATCTAAGAAGGTGATAATATGTTATTGCTTCTGATGAGCATATCTACATAACAGTTTGTAGTTATTGTATTGAGCCAGAGCTTTTTAATGCACAATCCAAAATAAAAAAATGATGACATGGCAAATATGTCTATGGAATGGAAGACATAAGTTAAATAGTTAAATAAGTAAGTCTATTAACAGATATTAGAAAACAAGGGCTATCAAGATCTTGAAAAAAATGTATCAGTTAAAAAGGACGTCACTATTTATAAGTTAAACCTCGTCTAACAAATGTTTTGTTTACCACAAGCGGAAACAAGTTGTAAACACACACTGACATATTATCACCTTTATAGTTGATGCTACAAACTTGATAAGAAACAGTTGGCCATTTCCACGTTTAGCAGTTACAGAGCCACATTAGCATTCATTTGGATTTGTTTTTATCGGCTAACATGAACACAATATGAGATTAAATAATGTGATGACATTAAATCCCTATTCATTATGATTATCAG